AGCTGGTTATACGTTCCACTATACTTTTACTGTATGCAGCTGTTTTACTTTACTGTCTGGTTGTCTACTTTAACCAGCCAGCTCGGCCAGCCGCAAAATATATTACCATATTCAACAACAAACATGATTATCACAAGAACACAGCGAGTAGTATTAAACTAATAATAAATTCCTGTAACAATCAAATTTCTCTTAACAAATCCACAAACCACACTCGTGGAAAGATAATAGTGGTTTGCAAAGTTGCAAACTGTGTATGATTATTCTGAATTGATGTATAAAAACAAATCTTTTATTTCCCACACAAAATTGATTAGGCATATGTCTTCCACATGCAAAAGAATATAAAAATACCATGGTGGTGAACTATGCCGCAGCAGATTGTTTCTCCTCGTAATCATCAAGCCTTAAGGCTTCTAATAGCCTTGGCCAAGACTCAGGGATGCCTCCAGGTAAGTCAAACTCCATAAGCTTCCCTTTGTTACGGTAGTACTCTTCAAGAGGCTGGCTCTGCATTAAAAAAAAACAAATAATACTAATCATCATCACTTGTATCATCATCAAGTGAAAGTTGTCATCTATTAGATAGGTAGATAGAAGGATCTTACGGTTTCATTGTAAATACGAAGCCTAGCTTTGACAACCTCTTCAGTATCATCAGCTCGAGTGATGAGCTTTGACATACACTGAGGTGGAGGGAGAAGTGGGTCCATACTAATTGCAGGCTTCCCATTCTCACCCTTTAAGTTAATGTGAGCGACATTGAAACCTTTGCCGCATTGGTTACAAGTTCTCCTACCAAGGCACTTGTCAACCAACACTTCCTCAGGTAGCTTCAGATTCACTACTAGATCGATGTCAGTCACATCTCCAAGTATTTCCTGAAAAACACAAAGATTAATCATCAAAACTTGCTCAGATATGGGTTAAAGATTTAAATGAGTTTATTACTTACAGCTTGTCTCATTGTTCGAGGAAAGCCGTCGAGAATGAAACCTGATTCACCTTTGGCTTCACCGGCTTCAAGTCTTTTTGATAATAGGTTTACTATGATCTCATCAGATACTAGTTTTCCTTGGTTTACAATCTCAGATAGCTGCATCAAGTAAACAGTGGAGATCAGAATCATTGCAAGAGACTCTACAACTATTAATACATACAAAATAACACATACGAGTCAAACAAAAAACAGAGCCGTTGACTCTAGTTTATCAGATCTGTTGTCGACGATAAGAAATGAAACCAGATTTGCTCTAAAAGAACGTAACTTTCAATCACAGTCGAAAACTGAAAGAGACAGAGAGGGAAAGACAAAAGTGAATGCACCTGTCGGGAGAGAGGACCGGAGGAAGCAAGCTCTTCGCGGACGAGATCTCCTGTGGCGATGTGAGGAACACCAAGAAGGGTCGAAAGTCTACTAGCGTAGGTTCCTTTTCCGACGCCGGGACACCCTAGAAACACCCACTGCACGTTTCTATCCTTGGCGAGAACTCTGCTAGCTCCGCCGCCGTGGAGAAACGGTGAAGAAGCGTGGCTAACTTCGGCCGAGGTGGAGTAGAATCGGCTTCCGAGGCCAAATAGGGAGGAGGATCTCGCCACACGCACTATTCTCGCCATTTTAGAGAGAGAGAGAAATGGAGAGAGAGAGAGAGCGAAGAAGCGGCTTGAGGTTAAAAGCTTTACCCTAGCGAGAACGTGTAAGAAACGAATGTTCCTTCTTAAAAGGATCTTAAGATTCTTTTCCCATTTTGCACTTAACTTAGCTGACGTGGCTTTGATTTTTTCATACTAGATTGTATCGATTCTCCAGCATGAACGATGTCACTATCAAAGCTTGCTTCTCATGTTTTTAGAAGCGTGCTCTGTCGGAAACAGCTTATCTTTCCGACAAGAAGGTATTGATTCTCAAAATTTCCAAAAATATAAAACATGTATTAATAAAAGAGTTCTATTCTTCTTTATCCTCAAAACTTCTAACGAGGGATTGGTTTTAAACAAATTAACAATAAAAAAAAAAAAAAAGGCAACTGAACTTAGAGCTCATCATGAGACTCATCCTCCTCATCGCCCGCTGCTTCTCCACCCGCACCACCTGGTGCACCACCTGACCTCTGATAAACAGCAGTGATGATTGGGTTACACACTGCCTCTACTTCCTTCAACTTCTCGTCGTACTCTTCCTTCTCCGAGTTTTGGTTCTCATCAAGCCACTCCAATGCTTCTTTCATAGCCGCTTCAATCTTCTCCTTCTCGTCTGCTTCCAGTTTGTCTGCGAGCTTGTCCTTGTCGCTTACTTGGTTCTTCATGTTGTACACGTATGTCTCAAGGCTGTTCCTCGCGTCGATTCTCTCCTTCACCTTCTTGTCTTCCTCTGCAAACTCCTCTGCCTCCTTCACCATCCGGTCAATCTCTTCTTGGCTAAGACGTCCCTTCTCGTTTGTGATTGTGATCTTCTCTGATTTACCACTCGCCTTGTCCTCTGCTTTCACGTTTAAGATACCGTTGGCGTCCACTTCAAATGTGACCTCGATTTGAGGTGTTCCTCTTGGAGCCGGTGGGATTCCGGTGAGGTCGAAGTTCCCGAGGAGTCTGCAGTCCTTGGTGAGACTTCGCTCACCTTCAAAGACCTGGATGGAGACGGTGGTCTGTTGGTCTTGGTATGTTGTGAAAACCTGAGACTTCTTGGTTGGAATAACTGTGTTTCTCGGGATCAGTTTTGTCATCACTCCTCCTACTGTCTCAATACCTAAAGTGAGTGGCGCAACGTCGAGAAGAAGGATATCTTTGGTCTCATCACCGCCTTCTCCGCTCAGAATACCTCCCTGGACAGCCGCACCATAAGCAACAGCTTCGTCTGGGTTCACACCTTTGTTTGGCTCTTTCCCCTCGAAGAAGTCCTTCAACAATTGCTGAACCTTAGGGATTCTAGTACTTCCACCAACAAGGACAATCTCATCGATTTGACTCTTCTGTAGACCAGCATCATCCATGGCCTTCTTCACGGGTCCCATGGTCTTCCTGAACAAGTCGTTGTTAAGCTCCTCAAAACGAGCTCTGGTGAGTGGCTCAGAGAAATCAAGACCATCAAAGAGAGACTCAATCTCTACACGGACTTGGTGCTGGCTACTAAGAGCTCTCTTGGCTCTCTCACATTCCCTGCGGAGCTTACCAAGAGCCTTGTTGTCCTTGCTGATGTCCTTTTGATGCTTCTTCTTGATCAACTTGATAAAGTAATCCATGATCCTGTGGTCAAAGTCCTCACCTGCGCACGACAGAAGAGGGTTAGCAACATTATCGTATGAATATTCAAAGTAATAATACAGAACATGCATTTGTTATGTAGGTTACCTCCCAAGTGAGTGTCACCATTTGTGGAGAGAACCTCGAACACTCCGTTATCAATGGTCAAGACACTGACATCAAATGTACCACCACCAAGATCAAAGACAAGGATGTTCTTCTCACCACCCTTCTTGTCAAGACCGTAGGCAATAGCAGCAGCAGTAGGTTCGTTGATGATTCTGGCAACACTGAGACCAGCAATGACACCAGCGTCCTTTGTAGCCTGCCTCTGGGCATCGTTGAAGTAAGCTGCACATAATCAAACACTCAATAAACTGTGTGTGTATATAAACTTATGATGAAGCGGGATTGAGGATAAGCTAACCTGGAACGGTGACAACAGCATCCTTGATTTTCTTTCCAAGGTAAGCTTCAGCAGTCTCCTTCATCTTAGTCAAGATCATGGCACTGACCTCCTCAGGAGAGAAAACCTTGGTCTCACCATCCTTGATCTTGACTTGAATGTATGGTTTGCCATCCTTGTTCACAATCTGGTAAGGCACAAGCTTCCTGTCCTTCTGGACCTCTTTGTCCTCGAATCTGCCACCAAGAAATTAAGCAAAAGTCCATAAGCAACGGCGAAACAAGACAAACAGAAACTTTTAAATGAACTAAAGCAAAGGGAAGGCACTTACTTTCGCCCAATCAATCTCTTGACATCAAAGACAGTCCTCTCAGGATTAACAGCCGCCTGGTTCTTAGCAGCCTCACCAATAAGCCTCTCGTTGTCAGTGAAACCAACCCACGAAGGTGTAATTCTGTTTCCTTGGTCATTGGCAATGATCTCAACATGACCATTCTTGTAAACACCAACACAAGAGTAGGTAGTACCAAGATCTATCCCTATCACTGTTCCCAACTTGGTAGCCTCTTCTTTAGCCGTGGAAAACGCAAATAAACATCCTGAAACACATACGCATATACATTTTCCAACATTTCAATAAACGAAAAACACCATCTAATCAAATTATCCACTAAACAAATCACAATCAAATACTGAGGATCATAAAACTGGAATCCATCCATCATAGTAAACAAAAACACCATCAAATTTCGCAAATAAACATCTGCCTAATGTTCACAGCACATTACAGATCTCATACTGCAATTTATGCATCATTGTGGACGAAAACAGAATCTAATCTACAGGAACAAGGAAACTAAATTCAAATCGAAGAGAACAAAGACACTTAGATCACTAACCGAAGAAAATGATCGCGAGCACAATGGTGCCGTTTGCTCCGAGTGAGCGAGCCATATCTAATGCTTTCTGTGTGTTCAAGCTCTCTTCTCTCTTTAGATCTCTCCTCCTCTCCTTCTTCGCTTTTTCTTATTTAAAGTTAGTTACTTCGTTGGGAGCTTTTTATGGAAGGACCACGAAAAGTAGACTTATGTCATTGAAGATGACGTGGACCAATGATATCGCGACGATCTACGGCTTCACCCAATCAGATCGGGTTATATGTTGGAATAATCCTCGCCGTTGGTTACTTACTACTACATTTCTTTTAAAATCTAGATAATGGGCTTTTCTTTTTTCGTTTAGGCCCATACTGAAGAGATCTTAATAGTAAATGAGCCGGGTTAAACTCTAACCAATATCCGACCCGAAATGTTGGATCCAACACTCCAAATCTCCTCCCTAAACCCTACACACACCACTCTCTTCCTCCGTTCATGTGGGATTGAAAGTTTCAGACTTTCGGAACAGAAACACTCCACAAACGAAACCCATTTCTAATCAACGAGAACCCACCCAACTCCTTGCAATGTCTTTCATCACCAGATCCAAACCCCACCAATGGAATCAAGCTAGGGTTTTCCTCTCTCTCCCCAGATCCTCACACTCACCCTTCCGCTTACTCACCTCAACAATCGAACCCACCGATAACCCATCCGAAACCCAACAAACCCAATCCCCCGATCCAACAAAGTCGAGACCTTCACCGCCGCCGCTCAGGGAGAGGTTCCAACGAGGTAAGAACCGTCAACGCCACGAAAAGCTAGAGGACACGATCTGTCGCATGATGGATAACAGAGAATGGACCACCCGGTTACAAAACTCGATCCGAGACCTCGTGCCCGAGTGGGACCACTCTCTTGTCTACAACGTCTTGCACGGCGCTCGAAAACTCGACCACGCGCTCCAGTTCTTCCGTTGGTCGGAGAGATCAGGCCTCATCCGACACGACAGGGACACGCACATGAAGATGATCGAGATGTTGGGACAGGGACAGAAGCTGAACCACGCGCGTTGCATCCTCTTGGATATGCCTGAAAAGGGTGTGCCTTGGGATGAGGATATGTTTAAGGTTCTTATAGATAGTTACGGTAAGGCGGGGATTGTGCAAGAGAGTGTTAAGATCTTTGGGAAGATGAAGGAGTTGGGTGTTGAGAGGACGGTTAAGTCTTATGATGCTTTGTTTAAGGTGATTCTAAGGCGTGGGAGGTATATGATGGCGAAACGGTATTTTAATAAGATGGTTGGGGAAGGTGTGGAGCCGACTAGGCATACTTATAATCTTATGCTTTGGGGGTTCTTTTTGTGTTTGAGGTTAGAGACCGCTTTGAGGTTTTGGGAGGATATGATTGGGAGAGGGATAAAGCCTGATGTTGTTACGTATAATACTATGATTAATGGGTTTGTTAGGTTTAAGAAGATGGATGAGGCTGAGAAGTTTTTTGTTGAGATGAAAGGGAAGGGGATTGAGGCGAGTGTTGTGAGTTATACGACGATGATTAAAGGGTATGTGTCTGTGGGGAGGGTTGATGATGGGTTGAGGATCTTTGAGGAGATGAGATCTTTTGGTATTGAGGCGAATGCTACGACCTACTCCACGTTGTTGCCTGGTCTTTGTGATGCGGGGAAGATGGTGGAGGCTAGGAATGTGTTGAAGAGTATGATGGCGAAACATATTGCTCCTAATGATAACGAGATTTTTCTTAAGCTTTTGGTGGCGCAGAGCAAAGGTGGAGATATGGCTGCTGCCACTGAGGTGCTTAAAGCTATGGCGACACTGAATGTTCCAGCTGAAGCGGGACATTACGGTGTCTTGATCGAGAATCAATGCAAGGCTAATGCTTACAACCGTGCTATCAAGCTTTTGGATATTTTACTTGAGAAAGAGATTATACTGAGGCATCAGGATACTCTTGAGATGGAGCCAAGCGCTTATAACCCGATCATCGAGTATTTATGCAACAGTGGCCAAACGTCTAAAGCTGAAGTGCTTTTCAGGCAGCTGATGAAGAGAGGTGTTCAAGACCAAGATGCTTTGAACAATCTTATCCGTGGGCATGCCAAGGAAGGAAACCCGGATGCTAGCTACGAGATTCTGAAGATCATGTCCAGGAGAGGTGTCCCTAGAGAAGCAAACGCGTATGAGCTTCTTATCAAGAGCTACATTAGCAAAGGAGAGCCTGGAGATGCGAAAACCGCTTTGGACAGCATGATTGAAGACGGACATGTCCCGGATTCATCTCTCTTCAGGTCAGTGATTGAGAGTTTGTTCGAGGATGGTAGGGTTCAGACAGCAAGTCGTGTGATGATGATCATGATAGATAAAAACGTAGGCGTTGAAGAGAATATGGATTTGGTTGGGAAGATCTTGGAAGCTCTGTTGATGAGAGGGCATGTGGAAGAAGCATTGGGGCGTATTGATCTTCTGAATCAAAATGGACATACAGCTGATGTGGACAGGCTGTTATCTGTCTTGAGTGAGAAAGGGAAGACGATTGCAGCGTTGAAGCTGTTGGATTTTGGGTTGGAGAGGGATCTTAGCTTGGAGTTTTCGAGTTACGACAAGGTTTTGGATGCGCTTTTAGGAGCTGGGAAGACTCTGAATGCTTACTCTGTTCTGTGTAAGATCATGGGGAAAGGAAGTGGGAGTGATTGGAAGAGCTGTGATGATTTGATCAAGAGCTTGAATCAGGAAGGCAACACGAAGCAAGCAGATGTTCTTTCTAGAATGATCAAGAAGGGACAGGGAAGCAAGAAAGACAATGTTTCTCTATAGAAACTGGAAGAAGTGGATTCTCTGTTGGCTTTCAAGAACTTTTTTCACTATTATATCGTTTCAGAAATAAATCCTTTTCTTAGAAACTTTGTTTTGAAGGGACTCGTTTGTATGATTCAGTGCTTTTTGATAGTCTGATTTGTTTTTCTGAATGGTTCAAAGATATTTTGAAGTGGATTTTCAGATTTATTTTTATTTTGTGGAAGATCTATGCTGAACAAGAGTTGCAACTTCCAATGGCTTTTAGTTAAATTATCTTATAGTCACATAGTTTTTTTTGCATTGGCACGAGACGGGCCATCTCCACTGTCCAAACAACACTAACTCAAGTGAGAGGAAATCACAGTTAGCACAAAAGTTATTTGGAAGATCCCTAAATTTTAATTAAAAAGTAGAAAATTCATATTGAAGAAAAAAAAAAGATATGTCTACAAATATATGTGTAAACATCTTATTTTGTTAAAACACTAGATATTAATACAATTTATAATAATATTATTTAAAATGAATTTCATATGTATCGTACATAAGTTAGAAAGTCAAACTTCAGGAATTAAAATTTATACATTTTACTAGTTAGAAAGTCAAACTTCAGGAATTAAAATTTATACATTTTACTATAAATTACATAACTTATAAATATTTATATTTGTAATTATCTAGTTTGAAGTTGAAGGATAACACAATTAATTCCAGGAAAGAAAAGCACAAACATCACTTGGAAAATTGTACGATCTCTTGTTTAAATAAAAAACTAGATTTTAATCTGCGCATTTGTGCGCGGATATATTTTATTTTTATAATTATTTGAATTAAATTTTTATGGAAAATTGATATAAAAAATATATTATTACAATTTGGTGTTTTATATTATGCAATTTAATATATTTTTGATATTATTAATATATAATTATTTATAAAGGTAAATCTTTCAAATACAAATTTTTAAATTTTTATCATAAAAATATACCTCAAAAACTAAAATGACCAAAATAACATTTTTCTTTTAAAATTTTTAAGTTTTTTGTATTTTTTAAAATTGGAAATCCTACCCGCAAAACTCTACTCCTCAACTCTACACAAAAGAATCTAAGATTAATTAATATAAAGAGTATAAATGTATATATTTAATCTTTTTTATATAACATTTAAGTCTATTTTGGTCATTTTTATTTTTAAAATCTATATTTGTGACAACAATTTTTTTAGGTCTATACTAAGGAATTTCTCTATTTTTATTTATAATTGTATTCATATTTTTATTTTAATGAAAAAACATATATTAATATATAATTTAGTTTTTTTTATTTGATTATATATATTAAAATAAATATAGTTATATAAGAAATCAAATAAAATAATTTATCTATTTATCCCGCTTCATTAAATTCTGATCTTTTCTAATAAAATTGCATTAGTTTTTATTTATATTTCTCATTGATAAAAATTTATTCTAATGATTTTGTAATTTAAACAAGCTTAATTATTTAATATAATTTACAAACATAAAACATCAACTGTAAACTAAAAAATCATATAATTAAATAATAGTATAACTGTATACTTTTTATAATTCATTTTTATTAAACTTAAATTTTATTTTGGTAATCTTTATATTTTAACTTTATAAATTAAAATAAATATTAGAAATAGTTATTTATTTAATTTAAAGTTTAAATAATGTTTATTTTTAATATTTTAATAATAATTATGAGTTTAATTAATTTTTTTAAAACTAATAGCTAAACGATTCAATAAGATTTTGTTAAAGAAAAATATGAAATATTAAAAAAAAGTATTATAATTTAATATTCTTATGTGTGATGGTATATTTCATGCAAATGATCTAATATATAAATATTTTTTAATATACTAAAAGTTATTAATGAAAAATTTTAATGTTTTTTTATCGGTAGATAAAAATAGTACTCTGTTTTAATAGATTAGATACAAAAGAATGTTTTTCAGAATAATTAATTTTTAAAGTTTTTAAACACCGATTAAGAAATTACTAACTTTTATTAAATTTATCTCATTTGCATAAAAATGTTAATAACTATAACTGACTAAATCAATAAGAAATTATAATGCAAAATACAAATATCTGTTCTCTTTTATATCACGATTTATGTTTATTATTACTTTATCAACATTTATTTTGGTTTGATTATGGTTATTGGAATTATGGTTATGCAAATGTTAAATATAAAAATTGAATTTGAGAAATTGAGTTAGCTGAGATAAGCTTCAACATGAGGATGGTGTGTCCTCTTTTTTACTTTAACCTTTTCAATTATATATTTTTTTTGTGAGAACCTTTCACAAGAGCTTATCTAGTATGGTGCTCTTGTCTCTTTATCATTCAATCGATGAAATTTGTTTTAATTAAGATTGATTAGATATTACTTCATTTTTAATTTATAGTTAATAGTTAATTATTATTAGTAAATATAATTATTCATTAAAAGTAATAATTAATCGTTAGTCACACTCATTAAAAATGACAAACAAGCAAAACTATTCAAAATTATAGAAAACATAGCAACTAAAACAAATTTATTTTTCAAACAATCATGTACGTACAATTGAACCTGGTTTGGTATTCAGCCGTCAGATAATTGTTTCCATAATGTGGAATAGTAATCTTGTTTAATAAACCGGTTTGGTATTTAGATTACAATCCAGTGATTTTATGTGCATAGTGGAATCTAAATAGTTAATGAGGTGGCTGTAAGCCTGTAAGGTAGTGTTCATAAAACAAATCTATTTAATTAAAACCAACTGAACATTATTTAATATATATAGTTTACCCGTATGAAACTCGTAACCAAAGCAAAACTCGTGAAGGTATTTGTGACAATCCGTCCTGCTCACTTAGGATCCTTGGTTCATAGCGCTGCAGCGCACCGAACCCAACTTTAAATTTTAAATTTAAACCACAAATTGGTTGATTGGAAAATGTCAAACCATCATGTTTGATATCCATCCCACGTAAATATGTACATATTATTTTTATTCAACATAGCAATAGAAAGAGAACATTAAAATAAGTCTAATGTTGACAAAGAAAAAAGATAAGTCTAATGAAAAAGAACAACAACTTTATTTCACTAAATTTGTAAAACTAATTTTCTTTTAATAGTATAGCTTTGTCTGGTTTTGTAAATATTTTATTCTTCTCAAAGGTCAGAGACATAGGAACAAAATATTCTGAAATGATATTTTCTCAACAGTATCTAGTGTATTTACATATTAATCTCTCTACATTTCAATTTGTAGAAATATTTTTAGCTTATTTTCTTCTGATACTCACACCTTTTCACTTTAAGTAATATTTTAGAAAAAAGTTTTGCTTCAATTAAAAGATGTCCTCAAATTTCAATACGAAATTAAATGTTATATGACATAAGTATAAATTAAATTATACGCTATACAAATTACCTACAAAAATAAATATTTTAACATGTTAAAATTACTTTTTGGATAGAAAGATGAATATGTTAAATTATATGTATAATTCTACAAAATAAAACAATTTTTGATAAAGTAGAGGCTAACCATCTATATTATACCACATGAAAATAATCTTTACATATTTATTTCTACTATTATGTTTAATTTTAATGCAATCTATGTAATCGTTAAAAGCTTTGCATAATTTATCACTAGATTTTGCTATTTTTCCTGCTTTTTTTTTGTTGCTAAATATTTTTCTTCATATGATATTATATATTTCTCATAAATTCTATAATATATATATACAAAATGTTACATATAACTTTTTAATATTAAATATTTACTTTATGTATTATATAATTTTTCCTCATCAATATTGTCATATATGCATGCATATATGTATATATTACATAATATATTAAATACATTATTACTATTACATTAGTTATATTTTAAAACTTAATTACAGTTATCCTAAATATGGTATTGGGCCCCTTAAAATGGTACTGTTCACCAAATATGTATGACTCACTGAAGTTTTCTTTGTTGGTATTTGGAAACCAGTAGTCATTCTCTTGTGAAAAAACCATAAACCAAAAGAAAATTAATATATAATTGTCATTATCTAAAACTAATTTCTATTATGTTATAAAGTCTTTATTAATGTTAACGAACAATTATATTTGTTAATATATAATTAACTATAAATTAAAAACAAATTTCAGTGATTTGATAATCATTCTTGCATAAAAATAATTTATGTTGTGTTTGTCAAAAAATAATTCACGTTAGATTTATTAAAAAAGTTAACTTGTAAAAGATAAATCCCTATATATGGGTAAATAATATTAACGCATATCTTAATGTTTTTTTCAAATTTAGTTTAGGCAATAAAAGATAATTTATTATATTGACAAATTTTGTCATATGCAACAAAATTTAATATATAATTTATTACTAAATAATTTAAAATATTAGTGTTTTAATTTATATTATATGATAAAAAGAATATTTATGTTATGATTAAAATATTTTATTCTTCTCAAGGGTCAAAGACAAAGGAACAAAATATTCTGTAATGATATTTCCTCAACAGTATCTTGTGTATTTACAAACCAATTTCTTTACATTTCAATTTGTAGAAATATTTTTAGCTTATTTTTCTTCGGATAATCACACTTTTCACTTTAAGTAATATTTTAGAAAAAAAAATTTCTTCAATTAAAAGATGTTCAGTACGAAATTAAATGTTATGTGACATAAGTAATATATTAAATTTTATGCTATACAAATTAAGTACAAAAATAAATATTTAACATGTTAAAATTACTCTTTTGATAGAAAGATGAATATGTTATATTATATGTACAATATTACAAAATAATCAATTTTCGGTAAATTAGAGGCTAACCATCTATATTATACCACATGACAATAATCTTTAAATATTTATTTCTACTATTATGTTTAATTGTAATGCAATCTATGTAATCTTTAAAAGCTTTCCATACTATATCACTATATTTTGCTATTTTTTTCCTGCTTTTCATTTTTTTGTTGCTAAATATTTTCCATCATATGATATTATATATTTCTCATAAATTCTATAGTATATGTATAAAAATGATACATATAAATTTTTAATATTAAATATTTACTTTATGTATTATATAATTTTTCCTCATCAATATTCTCATATATGCATGCATATATGCATATATGTATATATTACATAATATATGAAATACATTCTTACTATTACATTAGTTATA